ATTGTTTCAAGAGCAATTTACGCAGAACTTTTTTAAAATTTTCTATGATCGAATAAAGGTAAGACGTCATCATCATACTAACCAAATTATAATATCAATGGAAGTTAGTCCACCGAATAGAGAATTGTATGTTCATTGGTGCATAAAAAAAATCGGTAAGGGAGAAAAGTACCTTTTGCTAAACTATATCAAACATTTGAATATTACCTACTGAGAACATACATGACATCAGCATTCGATGCGTAAAAGTACTAAGCTGATTTAACTAAACAAATATGAAATTTCGGAAACAGAACAAGCAACCGAAATGAAATAGGCAACAAATTAAGATCTGTAAACGACTGTCAGACTGACTTTGGGTACCTACGGTCACACACTTGCGTGAGCCAGGTTACGTTACATGAAGTAGTCGCCTGGGCTTTAATAGGAGTTTCTAAGCACCCTGATCAGCATTAAGTCCGAGTCAGCCCTTCGTGTAGGAGTTCAATTATTGACCCTCTCGCTTTCCTAAGAGAAGATCTCGTAACCAAGCAACTCATCAGGTCTCCCTAAGGGAACTTTGGCTGATATTGCAAAACATTAGGAGAACTGACGAGGACATTTGTGTGGACCATTACTGGCTTTTGCGATAATACAGCGATACTGAAATACACTAGTAGGTATTTTCCAAGAAATATATAGAAACGTAGATTTAGCCTTATCATCCAGTAAAAGAATTCTTTTTAAATATATTGTTTTTTCACATCAATATAACATGCTCAGTTTTTTCTCCAAACAATTTATTTCTCGTGCTCATCCTCTACCTTGAAACGATTGATCCACAAATTGCGGTGTTCACTTCAACGAAAATGTTGTGGGGTTCAAGCAAAATTTTCCTATATTTGCTACCTTCAAAATCGCTTTGTTATCGTTGTGCCACTGGGATATGAGGGGGTTCAAGAATATCTTCGTCAAAACATAAGTTGCGAGTGAACTTCGTGTGTAGTACAAGGTCATATGGGTGCCAATTCTCCGAGCGTGTCGTAATGGGGAGTGTAAAACACTGTTAACAAGAATTTTATATTTATCACTCGTCATTATAAGTATTGCTCAGTTTCACAATCCCCCAATTCAATTTTTGAATATTTGATTAAAGGCACAACCGTAAATCACACTACTCAGTAGAATGTGGTAAAACGAATGTATTGCGTCACACAATGATTAACTGACGGACAGTTGGCGATGTCCGTTGGAAGCAAACTTACGTGATGTCAATGTACCATCATATTGCGCTAGGATTTCCCACCTCAGGTATTTGGTCGAGTATGAGATAATGGTATAGCGTGGGTATCCGTCGATTCCTTTGAAGAAATCAAATGTCCCGTTTCCGAACCCTGATTAAATTTGGGGACGGGGGACGGGGGGTGGAGAAAAAGAAATACGATTGTGTTTAGACGAAGCAGGTGTACACAGTACAATCACCGCCAAGTTAAAACAAATATGTTACGCAAAATCTCACAGGCACCCGGAATCGTAGGAAGCAGTTAAATGTGTTTAATTCAAATACCACGATGGTTAATATTTGCATTAACCTATTCGATTTTTCACAGTCACCCCGCACTGTTGATGATCTTGGGCGTGGGTTGCACTCCTTGGAAGTTCGTTAATTCCCCACCAGTTCGACTCTTAACAAGGACACAAAAAGTACACACTACTGAGTAATCCCAAACAGGAATAAAGTAGCTGTATCTATTGTTCATCAAAAATATTTAATTTATACTCTACCAAATAAGTGCTTTCATAAGCCAACAAATAGCTGAGTGTAGTCCGAGTGTATCCGAGTATAATGCAAATAGAACGCAAAGTGGAGAACCAGTTGGTTTTCAGTGAAGCGTAATCGTATTCGTACATCACAGCATATATCAGTGGTCAAGTCAAAAACTGTTTTCGGGAAGTTTGTGTGGATGTTCACATGACAGATTTTTTGAGGTTAATTTAATCCTGAGCTGAAATATGGGATTCTGTAGTGACCCTAGCCAGCGAGATGACGCAAACCACGGAGCGACACGTTTCAGTTTTAGGACAAATGTGATCAATCAAGCTTCCCCGGTTGACGTCAGCAAAGCGCCTACGCCTTACAGTTTCTGAACTGCAAACTATAGGCCGATCGTATCAACCAATCAGAAACCGTGCGGCTCAGATGAAGCTGAAAAACGCCAGAAATACTAGCACGCGATTGATATACGCCTGGATAATCAATGAATTTGATTTTTACATATTATTTAAACCCTATGATTTCTTTCAATAAACGGACTGCTAGACCTGTGGCCTTTTCCTCTCATCTCGGTTACGTGGGATAC